TAAACGGTTTTACTGGAAAATTTAGGAACAGAAATAATAATTGTTGTACCCCGTATACCGAAGCTAATAGCTTCACATCTGCGTGAATTTTCCAGACCGACAAGTTCTTCCCTTCCCATATCAATGCCATAACAGTAGCCTCCAGCATCCCCATAAAGCACATAAGAGCTGTTAGCGAGAGCTCAGCTTGATATGACTGCAGAATGTTTGCCTGAAAACAAAAACATAAATTCCTCTGTTACCTTACCTCTCTCTCTCTGTGACTTGGCTGTTTTGTTCACTAGAGCTATTCTCAGTTAATTTTTTCTGCCGAGAAAGATGTCAAGCTTCTGTAAAACTGGTAGAAGATTTCTGGTTTAGGTAAGCTAGGAAGATTCAGGGAAACGGAAGCAGTATTCCTGACACTATGCAGCTATAATTGTTATATGATTTGTTTCTTGATTGATGTTTGAGTTTGAGAATAAGGTCGTTTGAATTTGGTTATAAAAAGTTATAAGAATAGGGAATGGAACCTACCTGGAAAATGATGTAACATGACCAACTGAAGCAGCTTGCGACAAGCATAATTGATCCTCTTGCTATATCTTCCTGCTTTGGAGTATTCATAGCATGAAACTGCCCATGAAAACCCTTTGACTTGCTTGTCCAAGGCAACTCAATGACATTCCCTTTCACGAATGTCATGAGCATTGCTCCTCCAACTGCCACCATGGTTCCCACCAGCTTTGCCTGGCTGTGACGCCTTTTGATTTTCACCTTCTCGAGCCTTTCAAGAAAATAGAAACCAAGTAAAATTGTTTCAGTAGTGTAGTCGGCAATAACATTGGTAAATGGAGAGAGAGAGAGTTACTTGAAAATGCAAGCCATTATGAATGTCATAGCGGGAAGTGCATTGCACAAAGCGGATGTGAATGTGGCAGTGGTAAGTTTCATCCCTGAGTAGTAAAGGTTTTGTTCGACCGTAGGTCTGCATTTGTTCATTTAAACCCGAGTTAACGCGGATTACATAGCACGAGTTAAATGTCTATGATTGTGAAACAGAAATGATGAAAACAATGTCTTACTCAAATAAACTTAGGATGGATATTTTAAACAAGATTTTAAAAGTCATCCTTGGTCTTGAGTTCCTGCGTTCGAAACGCAAAAAGAAACCATTACTTTTAACTTCTTAGTGTATGTTTCGCTTACAGGCCTGAACC